TTGCTTCCCTCTTATTCTCTTCTGCTGCTCCATGTTTTGTATCATGTGTAGTGCCCACAGCTGAGCAGCCTGTCCATGGTTTTATTGTCACAGCATAAAATAAGGGATTGCTTTGCACGTGTTGCACATCTCAGATTTAGATTTACACTTTTTATGTGTGACGTTGCCAGTTGGTCTTCTGCATGTAAGCCCTGATTCATTTCTGGAAGACCACCTATGGAATCAGTGATGCCGCTGCTCCATTTCACAGGCTGTTTCCTTCCTGCACTCTAATATATGCATGGAAGCAAGGATTGTCTGCATTTATCATCCAGATAACTGTTGAAAATACTGAATAGCCTAAGACCCACATTACAACCTGGGGAACACCTTTCAATGCATCCTTCTCTTCTGGGGTTAATCGGTGCCACTCAATATGCTCTTCCATTTGACACAGTTGTGAACCATGTTAAGGCCACTTTATTTTCAGGGATTTTCCAATCGATTTTTTACTCACCTTATTATCCTTATAATAGGTTGTATTCCCCTAACTTGACAGATAGTACAAAACTTCTTATTAAAGTCAAGCAAAGTGACAGGGTGCCTCACTGCACCTGATTAAGGAGCTCACTACAGAGGCTGGCTTAAGACTTGTGCACTTTACAGGATTAAGTATACTTGATTAACTATAACTTGATGGTAATCAAAAGGAGGAGGGAGGAACAAGTTTGATCATGCAATAATATGCTTCATTTATGAGTTTCTTTTAAGGTCCTGAAATATTCCTGCTCAGGCCAGAGGAATGATGATTGCAAATCTAGAGAAGAAACTTATCTGTACTACACAGCTGTATTTTCATGGGGAAGTATTAAAGAACCCAATGTAGGCATCTCTTTGTTCATGAAGTTGTGGCAATACTCACTACAGGGAAACGAAATATATCAAGAATATATCAAGCCAAATGCTAACTCTGAGCAGAGTAAGATGAAGAACTTAGTGTCCTCCACATCTGCTCAGTGACCATTTTATTGTAGCAACGATGTGCTTGGTGTTTGATTCCCACAGGGAAATACTAAGGAATGTTTGGGGTTGCTGCAGACTAACCTGATGGTTTTGGAGAATGGCACCAACAGCTAGAAAAGCCAGCATGATGTTGGATGTTGTTGGGAATGGGCAGAGAAGATCATTTTGCTGTCATATAAAATCTTGGTGGGCCTACATGTAGGGGAAATCCTGCCATTGTGGTCTCTGCATCTCAAAAAGGATATAGTGGAATTGGAGAAAGTCCATAGAAAGGCAACTGAAATAATCATGGGACACAATCATGGAGCCTGGCCTTAGAAGGACAGACTGCAAAGGTCTGGGAGTGTTCAACATGGAGAGGATAAGGATGTGCGCAGGTTAACTGTAGCATGGAGGTGAGGGATTGCAGACCATTAGTCACCAGACCCCACAATAACAGAACTACAGGAGATTTGGTAGGACATCAGTATAAGACATAAAAGCAGTCCCTTGTTTGCACAGTGGGTCCTTTAGCTTTCTGCCAGAGGAGGTCATGGAGGCCAATGGTACTGGCAGGTTGTCATAGTTTAAATCCCAGCCAGCAATGAAGCACCACAAGTTGCTCATTCACTCCTCCTCAGTGAGATGGAGGGATGAGTTGGAAGGGTAAAAGTGAGAAAACTCATGGGTTGAGATGAAAACAGTTTAATAAATGAAAACAAACAAGCAAATAAACAGAATCATGTCACAGAATCCCAGGCTGGTTTGGCCTGAAGGGAAAGCTCATCCAATTCCAACCCCTGCCATAGGCAGCTTCCACTGGAGCAGCTTGCTCCAAGCCCCTGCGTCCAACCTGGCCTTGAGCACTGCCAGGGATGGGGCAGCCACAGCTTCTCTGGGCACCCTGTGCCAGCGCCTCAGCACCCTCACAGGGAAGAACTTCATCATTGGATCTATAAAACAAGAAATGCCCAACTGAAAACTTAATACCACTTGGGTTCATTTGATGCAAAGGGGGCAAGTCCTTTGGTCCAGACCTCTGAATTTCTGCTTGCTCCCCAGCTTCTGAATGATTCTGCTTTTTTCCCCTCAGACAAAACTGCACCAGATCCACTGCACAACCAGTTTACAACCTCCACTACTCAGACGTCCAGACCAAACGAGTTTGTGCAGTGTTTTACAAGCACTTGCAGGATTTCAGAAGGCCCTTGTTAAGCCTACACCTAAAGAAGGCTGGAACTGTGTCTGGTTTACTTCCTGGCAACCCCCTTTCTGCCTCTTTCTTGGCATTGCACAGAAATGATCTTCATCATCTCGTCTGTAGTGACCTCGGCTATGTGACAAGATCTTTTCCTTCCTCTCCTAAAAGAGAGGACTTCTCTGAGCAGCAGAACTCTGGTGATCAATCAAAGGAAGACAACAAGCAATAGAGACCATCTTCGCCCCGTAACACCTTCCCAGGTGCTCAAGACGCTCCTATTCCTCTTCATCACCCAGTTTCCACTGAGTTTTCACAGCACCTCCCCTCTACTGCCACACACCTCTGTTGCTAACACCTAATGTTCATCATCTAAATTATAATGCTAATTATGGGGTTTTTATCTCATAACCCCCCGGTTTTTCTGTGTCTGGATAACTTTCCCCCTTGCTGGGTCTCTGTTCTCACGTTCCCCTTTTCTGCCTTGCTCTGCTGCGGGTCGGTCGCTTGAGGAAGCAGCACTGGGTTTTCCTGGTATTGTTGAGCAAGCTGGCCTGTTTCGCAGAGCTGACCTAACTAACTGCTCTCACAAGCAGTAACCTGTTTTTTTCCCCTCCTCTGACCTTGCAAAGGCCTAAATGGTTTCAGGTCTTTCTCATGAAAGCTGTGCCTGTAGCAATTAGCCACCTGGGGTCACCGTTCCTTCCAGTACGCCTGACTGTGCATCGTGTGTTCTTGCTAGGATGAAACCTCACCATTTCTAATCAAATCTTAGTGGCTATTATCCACCTACGCTGAGATTTGCTGCTTGAAAGCAAATGGCTGTGAAAGAGGGAGCATGTTCAGCTCATCTGCCAAAAAATAGACCTTTTTCAGCAAAGGGCAGATTCAGCTTGTTGAGAATCATAGCATCCTAGAATGGTTTGGGTTGGAAAGGGCCTTGAGATCATCCAGTTCCAAACCCGCTGCCATGGGAGGGGATGCCTCACCATAGACCATGGCACCCAAGCCCCATCCAGCCTGGCCTTGAACACTGCCAGGGATGGAGCATTCACCACTTCCCTGGGCAACCCATTCCAGTGCCTCACCACCCTCACAGTAAAGAGCTTCTTCCTTATATCTAAGCTGAACTTCCCCTGTTTCAGTTTCAACCCATCACCCTTTGTCCTATCACTACAGTCCCTGATGAAGAGCCCCTCTCCAGCATCCCTGTAGCCCCCTTCAGGTAGTGGATAGTTCATGGAATCATAGAATGGTTTGGGTTGAAAGGGACCTTAAAGTTCTTAGGTTCTGTGTGTGCAGTACAAACTGCTGCCCTCTGCTCAGAGTTTGCCATCATTAACTGACCAGCAGGGTTTTGAACAGCTGAGAGATGCAGATTGAGCTGAAGAGCTGCAGAAAACATCCCCCATCTCTGTTTCCATCATGGAAATAGTTATAAAATTAAATAGTTTGATGAAGCAGGAAATAGAAGGGGGTGTTTGAGGGTATAGCCATGCACCTCCAAAGAACAGACCCCATGTTTAACAGAAGGAGAAATTGTGCTTAAAAGTCTGTGATGTAGACCTCATAGCAGCCTTGCAGTATCTGAAGGGGAGCTATAGGGATGCTGGGGATGAACTCTTCACTAGGGACTGTAGTGATAGGACGAGGGGTAATTTGTTAAAAGTTAAGCAGGGGAAGTTTAGATTGGATATAAGGAGGAAATTCTTTCCTATTAGGGTGGTGAGGCACTGGAATGGGTTGCCCATGGAAATTGTGAATGCTCCATCCCTGGTGGTGTTCAAGGCCAGGTTGGACGAAGCCTTGGGTGGTGCGGTTTAGTGTGAGGTGTCCCTGCCTATGGCAGTGGGGTTGGAACTGGATGATCTTAAGGTCCTTTCCAACCCTAACTGTACTATGATTTTATGATTTCTTTCTGGGCAATATAACAAGCATGTTTTACCAACCCAGATGGCTGGGGTTCTGCGTATGCAGTTCTGCATCTCCAGATACCTTGGAAAAAGGTGAAAAATTGGGGTCTAAGACTTGCAGATAGGATTTTCAAGAGCAAATCTCTTGAAGTCCTTCAGTGGACTTTGGCATGAGTGTTTCTTGTTATGCTATTAAATATGGAAGGGGATTTGGAGCATAGAGTCCCAGGGTGAGCAAAGCATTTTACCCACAGCAGTTTCTCCATAAGCCTTACATGTTCTCTGTGCCCTGATGCCTTTGGGTTTGGGCAGTAATCTCTTGGCCAAAGCCTCATTGGACCCTATAAGAGAACTTGTCACTTGCATCAGTGAAGCTGCACAAAAGCTTTCATGGAAAGGGTGAAGGGAGATTCATCAGGACAGAAATAACACGGGCTGTAGCATCTCTTCTGTTTGCTGCTCTTATGAGCACTGCTAAACCTTTTCTCATGCTGGGGAAGAAGATGCAGATTGGTGCTTCTCCCCATAGATATCACATTATTCACACCTCAAAAAGGTCTGTTTTGGGTCTCCCTTGTGTCAACTGCCTTTCACAGGTCCATCACCCTGCTGAGAGTGAGGACAGGAGAGTCTCTGAACAGAGATACTAACCCAGCAATCCTCTGTGTCTGTGCCTATGACTGATGGACGCGTTAAAAACCATATCACATCTATTGCTTAGCATGCCTGTTAGGAAGACTTCATTACTTGAAGATTTATAAAGGAGAAGTAAACGTCCAGCATATAATTTATTATATATTATAATAAATTATAATTTATATTATTTTATAATTTTAATATAAATTATAATTTATTATAATTTATTATGTAATAATCCACAAACCCATTAAAATCTTGCCCACTTCTGCTGACCTCAGCTGTAGTGGAACAGCTCTGGAGTCAGCAGCTCTGATGTGTCAAACCACTTCCTACACACAACAGCACACACCACCACACTGAGCATGAAGTTTGAGTTCCTGGATTAAAGCTACTAATACCTGAACAAAGAGCAGACTTTATTCTCTCTTGCAGAGCCAGCCCAGTGAAATGATGATTTGCTGACCAAAGAGCAAAGTCCTTGCTGTGCACACAGGGTTCTGATGCTCCCCACCAGTCTAACCAGGCAGTAGAAGGCTCCTTGGCTTGGCTGGCAGCAGCCCATCACGTCTAAGAAACTTCACCATCCTCAGTGTTGCAGAGAAAAGATGTGAACAAGTCCCATGGAGCTCAAGTGCCTTTTGATGTGGCTCTTGTTTGGATCCGTCAAGGGAAACAGGCCAGGTAAAAGACTATTTCTGCCTTTTGGGGAGGGAAAATACGATTTGCTTTCTTGTGGTGGCTGCTGGGGGATGTTTGCGACATCCTGACTCCTTTCAGGTAAGGAGAGATGTTAAGAGCTTAAGGAATTTATTATTCTAAGGAAAAAGAGAAACGGGGTTTGTGCCCACAAGCCATCGACTGCAGACAATCCAGAGCACTACAGAAGGCTTTTTGTCTGAGTAATGCATGTATCATCCAACCCACCATTGGAACAGTGGGCAGATCAAAGCAACCTTGTGCACCTTAGGTAGCTCTTTGAATTTGTGGGGTTTTTTTTCCATTCTGCATGTAAGCTTAGGAAATACAAAAATAGGCACTGAAATGTCAGTAAGTGTAGGTAAAACTGATGGCAATGCTCTTAGAAGGTACCATCCACGTTTGCTACTGGTGCTATAGATACCAAGTATTCTCTCAGCCACACCTCCCAACCAGTAGTGCCTGTAAACTGTGAACGGAGGCAGCTAATTCATTCAGCATAATTTTACACATTTTTTCAAATTGTGATACTGCTTATATTTGGCTTATTTATTGTGACAAGTGTGTGCTCTGAGAAGTGGTCTGGTGACATATTAGTGTATTTGAGTTTTAATTGCTGTGTTCAAAGGGGAAGAAAAAGCATCCTACATTCTCAGTGCTCTATAAATGTGATTATTTAATAGACTCAGAGAATAGTTTGGGTTGGAAGGTCATCTAGCCCAATCCATCTGCAATGTGTAATTCTTCTGTATCTGATGATGATGCCCAGGTTGAGAGGTATGAGCAGCCTAAAGCACGTTCTCAGGCACACTGGTACTGTACCTTCTGCTGGATCACCTCTAGCCTAGGGGCTGGGCATCTCAAGGGAACATTGTGTTGCTGCAACCAAACTCATTAATGCAGGAAGCGCCTCCATAAATATTTAACCTGCAGGTGAGTTTATTCTCATTAAAGTATTTTGCCAGTAAACCCCGTACCTTCTCCTCCATGGGGCATTTTCATTGCCAAATAAAGTGCCGGTGCCCACGGCAAGCGTTTCAGTGCTGCGTGCGAGAGTATCACTGCAAGACGTTCAGCCAGAGATATGTAAATAGGATCGGTTCTGGGATGAGTCAGGTTCCCTATATCACACTTTCCATATTACTATGCATGAGATTTCTTGCTGGCAAGTCTCGTTTATCAGAAATCTTTCTGGTTTATGGAAAAAAATGGAGGGGTGTCAGAGCAGTTGCATTTTGTGCTATTCGATGTGATTTCATTCTCTGATGAGCAAATAAATGCATAGCTTTGCATTCTTCACTGTATCACTAAGATTTTCTTTCCTCAGCTTCCTGTGTTTATTTTCAATGCCTCACCCAATGTTTAAATGTAGTATTTATCCATAGATACATATCTTTTAATTTCTCCATGAAAATAATATGCTAAGGTAAAAACACCAACTTCTACCAATATTTTTGATTGTAGAGATGCCTGAAGTGTTGTGGCTCTAAGGCCCATTGTGTTTATTTCCTTTGGGGGATTAACAAGCAGACTTGGGAACAGCCTTAAGCAAAGAAAAGGGGAAGTGGCTAGGTCAAACTGGTCAAAAAATCAGCTATGCCTCAGTACAGACAATGCTGTTTGTATTCTCTTGCCTTGGCCTTTTCAGGACTGCAAGCTCAGTTTTGTAAATAGCTCCTGCTGTAGAGGCTGTTTGGAAGAGGGTTTCTGGCAAAATGCACTCTCAGGAATAGATATAATGAGGGGGAATAGAAAACAGTAAGTCTTTGTTTTAGTGAACAGTTTCACTGCTGGATCTCGACATGCTTTGAGAGGGAAAAGTCTTCTAATATATACCTGGGGAAACTAAGGCATGGGATGATTATTTAGTATAAGTTAAACTACACCTTAGTGCTAAAGAAGATAAGAGAAATGCTGATTTCCTCAGAGAAAGCATCACATTTATCTCATTTACTCTTCGCAGCAGCAGTGCCTAGAAGCTGCAGGCATGAGTGAGGCTTGAAGCATGCTAGGTGAGGGTCAAATACAAGATAACACCTGACTTATGCTCCTCCGACCTTCCCATCTTGCTATTCATCTTACAGGAATACACTAAATAGGTTTGTAAGTTAAACCTGGAAAGGATTAAAACTCACAAAAGAAAGACTTTCCTTCAGCTGAATTCACACAAGATGGGTACCAGATCTCAGCCATTTAAATGAGAGGAATTTCTTCCCCATTATACTTGCATATGAGTGCTCGCTCCCATGGATTTGAAATGCAATGAGGAATAAATTAAAGTTGTCAAACATGTACAAGTGTTTCTCCTAAGGTCAACCAGAGAGCAAATACCTTTATAAACTTTCCAGCTACAGTGCTCTCAGCAGCAAAGTGACCAATATACAGCTACAATTAAAAAGAAATTGTTAATAAGTTGTGATCCTGCTGAGGATGTTATGACAGAGATCCTGCAGTATCTGCTTCTGCCCTCAGATGGAGAAATCTTCTCCTTGCCTCATCAGAGATGGGATGCTATGCCCTTTCCTTTTATTACAGAAAGAAATCCACTCTTCAGTTACTTTTAGAAAGCCACTAGCTTTGATTTTGCTTTGATTTTTGCATTTAGAGTGTTGCATTATTGGTCTTCCTGCTTTCTACCTCGATCATAGAATCATGAATAATTAGGGTTGGAAAGGACCTTAAGATCATCAAGTTCCAACCCCCCCTGCCATGGGCAGGGACACCTCACACTAAACCATATCACCCAAGGCTCTGTCCAACCTGGCCTTGAACACTGCCAAGGATGGAGCATTTACCACTTCTTTGGGCAACCTGTTCCAGTGTCTCACCACCCTCACAGTAAAGAACTTCTTCCTTATATCAGACCTGTTCAGCTTTGTCTCTCCTGTTTTTCCCATTACATTAACTGCATCTCTAAAGCACAGCTTCTGGATGTTTTCTCCCCATGGTTTTCACCTCCTGACCCTGGTCCTGAATCTTGGAACAACCTTACTTACCGTTGTCTTTGCTCCATCTCCTCTGATGCTTATCCAAATCTCACATTTCCAAAGTTCTTCCATGACTTTCTTCACTTGACAACCTGTTCCTCAGCCCTGCCAGGGTAGCAGCACTCAGTCATCTGCTGCTTTATTTTTATCCTCTCCATTTGTAAAGGTGAAGTATATACAGCCCTCTCTATTTGGAAAAACACTTCATGCATTTCAGTGTAAGAAAAATCAGCAACACTAACAAATAATTCCCAGCCCACTCATAAGAGCTCCAGCAAAAAGCTTGATGACCATGCTAAGGACACAAGTCAAATAAGATGAGTCTTAAAGCCACATTTGAAATCAAGAATGCCACCAGACCTTTTCTCATTGTTACCCAAGACTGGGATGTGTGCTTGCCAGCCAGCTCAGTTACTTCCTATGGCCCTTCCAATGCAACAAAAGGCAAAGCTGAGACTGTTCCAGCCAAAGAAAAGGATCTGAATTTCTGCTGCTGTTTTAAAAAGCAGATTTTCTTTCTCAGGAATGTGTTTTTCCCTTTAGATGAAAACAGCGAAGAGGCGGGTGTTGCTGAAGTCACAGATTAAAGCACAAATGTAACCAAACCTGTTCAAAACCCAAATGTCACGCTCCAAAACAAGGCTTTCATGTATGATATTCTCAAAACCAGAATCTGTGTTCTGCTACCATACCATGTGCAGTGGTTGTCTTTAAAGAGTTTGAGCTCTGTGGCTTTACCACGGAACTAAGAAGGGTATAAACATCCAGAAACAAAAGCAGAAGAAAACCAGATGTTTCCCATTCTCCACTTGGTACCTTTTCTATGCAGTGCACTGAACTTGTCCTTCTTCCTGCCTTAGGAAACACTCTCCCTCTTTTTTAATACTCCAATTCCATTTTTAATCTGAATTCTCAGCCTCCTGGCAGGGAAGGCATGAGATTCATCTTGCTTAACTTCAGCCATCTGCACCATCTTCTCCATCAAGCTGGACATGCGAATCCCCTTTGTAACCAGGGGAAGAACATAGCACTTTCAGGGCACAGTTGATCTACCAGATTGCAGATAAGGTGCTGTGAGTCATGTCCTGTGTCTTTCTAGTGACTACCCATAGAATTGAAATGCCTGCTTTTTTTTTTTTGGCTGGGTGGCATTCACTCCATGCCTTAAAACAGGAGTGAGCTGGAAATGAAGGGGGATAAATGTGTTTAAGAAGAGAGGAGTCAAGAAACAGCAGAAGATGAAACAGCATCTGCAGGCTGCTTTGCTGGGAGCTCACAGCAAAGTGAGCTTTAAAATGCTATCAGTGCATTAGCTAAACCACTCTGCTTATCAATGTGAGCATGTAAGAGTGTCCTTCCACCACCGTAGCTGATAAAAAGACAGAAGCACCTTGAAGCATTGCTTTGGAGAGCTTAAGTTAGGTGTTTGCTGTCCTCTAGAGAGGTCTGCCCAGTTTCACTTGTTACAGAAGGAGCTAAGAAGGCAGGTTCCTGAGGCTAAGTAATGCTTAGCGTGAGAAAAGTCAGTCCACAGTCAAACCAAATCTTGCCTTGCTGTGTGTGGAAGTATTTTTGCATTAGATTCCACTGTCCAGGTCAGTGGCAAACAGCTGGTTAGCATGAGTAAGCCAAGAGATAAGTGCATTTGACCCTTATCTAATTTTCTATGGTCCTACAAGGAGTTAATGGACACAGCTCCTGCTGGTTCATGTTCCAGTTTATTTTACACTGTCTTTCCAACAGAGCCATCTTCCAGTACAGCAAACTCAGCAGGCATTGAACTGCCTAGTCCTTAGAACAGGACATGCCTCTTCTCCACTGCTAGGAACATTAAAACCCACTTCCTGCCCCATAAGGCTGCCTTTTGCACTAAAATTTGTGCCTACTAACTTCATCTGCAGTGTATTTCTATCCTTTACACTGCAAACTCGTTACTGCTCCCATGACTTTGTGGGATAATCTCTGTGTAATTGACAGTATAGCTAAACAAAATCTCAC